AGACGGTGGCTTGAATTGTTGAAAGATTATGATTTTGGATTGAATTACCATCCTGGTAAAGCTAATGTGGTGGCCGATGCTTTAAGTCAAAAGACTTTGCATATGTCACTTTTGATGGTGAAAGAGTTGGAATTGATTGAGAAATTTAGAGATATGAGTCTTGTAGTAGAAATGACGCCGAAGAGTGTTATCTTGGGAATGTTAAAGATCAATAATGATTTCCTTGATAGTGTTAGAGAAGCTCAGAAGCTTGATGTGAAACTTGTTGATTTGTTGGTTGGTATTGGACAAACTGAAAATGAAGATTTCAAGTTGGATGCTCAGGGTGTATTGAGGTTCCGAGATAGGATTTGTATTCCCGATGATGTGGATTTGAAGAGAATGATCTTGGAAGAAATTCATAGAAGCAATTTGAGTATTCATCCTGGAGCGACCAAAATGTATCAAGATTTAAAGAAACTATTTTGGTGGTCGGGCATGAAGAGAGAGGTGGCTCAGTTTGTTTATGCTTGTTTGACTTGTCAGAAGTCTAAAGTGGAGCATTAGAAACCTGCAAGGTTGATGCAGCCGTTAGAGATTCCAGAATGCAAATGGGATAGCATTTCTATGGATTTCGTAACGGGGTTACCGAATACACCAAGAGGACACGATGCGATTTGGGTGATTGTTGATAGGCTTACAAAGTCGACTCACTTTATTCCTATTAACATCACTTTTCCCGTATCGAAGTTGGCGGAAATTTATACGCATGTGATTGTGAGATTACATGGTATTCCTTTGTGTATTGTTTCGGATAGAGATCTGAGGTTTACTTCTGAATTTTGGAAGAGCTTGCAAGAGGCTTTGGGTTTAAAGTTGATGTTGAGTTCGGCTTATCATCCTCAAACTGATGGTTAGACGGAAAGGACGATTAAATCGTTGGAAGACTTGTTACGTGCTTATATTCTTGAACATGGTGGTTCATGGGATACATATTTTTTTGATTGAGTTTACTTATAACAATAGTTTTCATGCTAGTATTGGAATGGCACCGTTCGAGGCTTTGTATGGTCGGAGGTGTAGAACTCCTTTGTGTTGGCATGAGTCGGGTGAAAGTGTGGTGCTTAGACCAGAATTGGTTAGAGGGACTACTGAGACGGTGAAGATGATTAGAGAAAAGATGAGAATTTCTCAAAGTCGACAAAAGAGTTATCATGATAAAAGGAGAAAAGACTTGGAATTTCAAGATGGTGATCATGTATTTTTGCGAGTTACTAGTACAACCGGCGTTGGGCGAGAATTGAAGTCGAAGAAGCTAACTCCTTGCTTTATTGGTCCTTACCAAACTACTATTAAAGTGGGAAAAGTGGCTTATAGAGTGGCGTTACCGCCAAATCTTTCGAACTTGCATGATGTGTTCCATGTTTGTAACTTCGGAAGTATGTTCCGGATCCTTCACATGTGATTGAGATGATGATATTCAATTGCGAGACAATCTTACGGTGGAGACGATGCCATTAAGGATCGAAGATCGTGAGATAAAGTCTCTTCGTGGCAAAGAGATCTCCTTGGTTAAAGTTGTTTGGATAGGAGCAGCTGGTGAAAGTGCGACGTGGGAGTTAGAAAGCAAGATGCGGGATTCCTATCCCGAGCTTTTCGAGTCAGGTAATTTCGAGGACGAAACTTTTATAAGTGGGGGAGAGTTGTAACACCCTGTTTTATTCAATATTATATTATATTAATATTTTTGAGTTACCGTTTGACGTTTATTTTTGCGACGAAAATATTTAAATTAACTGTTATATCTGTTAATATATTCGGCGACATTTTATTCAGACCGGTAATTATTTTATTCGGTCCGGTATTTATTTTGAGGGACCGGTAATTATTTTGTTCGGTCTGATTTTTATTCCGTTCGGTTAGGTAAAATATTATTTGGACCGATATTTAATTTTTTTTGGAGTTATTTTAATTATTTGGGTTAATAATATTATTTGATATTATTTAATGTTAACTAGTAGTATATTTTTTAAGAAGGGCTTTTTGGTATTTTGCCTAGCTTTTGTCTTGCATCAAAACAAATCAAACACACTTGTTTTATGACATAACATACAAAACACACTTTGTGAGAGTTAGAGAGAACAAGAAGGTCTTGGAGAGAAGAGCAAGAAGAACACCATAGCTTGAGTTTTGGGTTGGTTGAAATCATCAAGAATCATTTCAAGTATCTAAGGTAAGGGGTTTGATTTTCCAATGCTTATAGTTAGGGTTTGATTTGGTATATTTTGATTTGAGATAAAATTGATGATAGGGTTCTTGAGATTTGTTGAGATAAATTAGGAGAGTTAATTTATGTGTTAGTGTTGTGAGATTATTGTTATGTTAATAGAAATTAAATTAGAAAAACTAAATTATATTAATTAAATTAAGCTTATAAAACTAAAATAGCAGTATAGAAATTGAGTTTAGTTTATAAACTAAAGTAGCAGTATAGAAATTGAGTTTAGTTTATAAACTAAAGTAGCAGTATAGAAATTGAATTAAGTTTATAAACTAAAGTAGCAGTACAGAAATTGAGTTTAGTTTATAAAATAAAGTAGCAGTATAGAAATTAAATTAAGTTTATAAAACTAAAGTACTATGCAGTATTGAAACGAAATGAAAGTTGGAAACAATATGTTTCATGATGTCGTCGCCATTCCGCTGTTTCATGAATAATGTACTTTTTTTTTTTGAAAAATAGTTTATGTTTTGTTTTTATTTTCTTAATTTAATATGTTAAATATTTATATTAATTAAATTCAAATATGACATAAGTTAGCCGATTTAATTTGGAACCCGATTATGTCCGATTTCCCGATTTCGGCAATTTCGGCGACGGAGCTAGTTGCTCTGAATTGAACGAAAATTGACGCGCTAGCTAATTTCGACGTGTAGAACGTCGTGGTGAGGTTAGTTTTTCAAGATTTCGAGTTTTTATGAAGCGACCCGAAATAGGCCAATTTACGGTTAATTTGAAATGAGTTGCGTTTTAGTCGGTTTAAGTCGCGTATGGACAATCTGATTGCGACGTTAATGATTATGATTGATGCCGATTATTATGAATGAATTTCGCGATGATTATTGATGTTGGACTATTTTTCCGTGTTTGAAATTTAGTGAATTATTTGATAATGATGTGGTGTGATTAAACATGATGTTTGCGACGATTTATTTATAATGAATACTTGATGATATGCGATGCGATGATATATTTATCTTGATGTGGATAAATATGGAGACGTGGGCTTTATACAAATTTTGATGTGCGATGATGATGTTTTGTTGTGTCGTGTTTGTGATGTCGTGTTGTCGAGTCACATACATTGCATTGACGACAAGGGCTTTTATGCCAAGCGACGAGGGCTTTTATGCCAAAGCGACGATGGACTTTTATGCCGAATGTCCCTAATTATGGACAAAGCGACGGGTACCACATGCATAACATAGTCGTGTCTCATGGAGTCGGTTATGTTTATTTTTGAGTCTTTTTACGTTGAGTTTTATTTCATAACTTATGATGAATTGCGATGATGCATGATACTTTGTTTTGTGATGATTTTTGTGTTGAACATAAAGTGCATATGATGCGATAATTTCATGATGAGTAAGCGATGAATATAACATGACGGTAAAGCGACGATATGAGTTTATGGCGATGAAGTTTATGTCTTGTTTTGGTATGATTATGATGATTACGTGACGAAATTAAAGTGTTGATTTTATACACTAAATGATGATTTAAAGTGTGTGAGATTTGGATATGTGCTGACATACTCTTACTAATCCTATATCATTTATGATTCCAAAACTATTTATATATTTTATCATGCCTTTAATTATATATTTTGGAGTATCTCACCCTTTACTTGTTTCGTCGTTGCCTTATTATTGGTAACGTGCAGGTGATCCGCGAGGATGATGAGGATTAGTTCAGGTCTCTTTATTTTGAGTCATTCTGCTCTGATAGTAGTAACACTCGGGATTTGAGCGACGTTATTATTTTAATAGGATATTTTATGTATACTATCTTATGACTTTATGTATTGATGATAACATGATGATACATACATTTTGTGAACACATCTGCTGTGCTGTCATTAGTCATATGATGATTTATGTTATGAATCGGTATATCCGACTTTTGATTTTGTGATGTGCATTATAATGCAAAGTGATGAAAAACACGAATATGTGATACCTCAATTTATGTTTGGATGAAATTTTGAAACTTTGATTTTATTATTAATTACGAGGGGTAGAATATGGGTGTTACAGTTTCAGCCATAACTTTTGAACCGTAACTCTGATTCGCGCCCGGTTCGAAGCGTTGGAAAACTTATTAAATGTTATTTCTAACAATGACAAAATATAAACCAAATTTATGATTTATTATTCTTTAATTTTGAGCCTTATTCGTTGACGAGTTGCTCAAAATCACACGTTTGAAGTCGTGTCTTCGACACGTTATTGCTCATGCTCCAAATACGCATCAATACCTATAAAATGAATGGAAAACTATCGAACGATACACTTTATACATGAAAATGCATTATACATAAACTAAACGTATTTATACACAAAGTTAGGTTATTCAACTGATATTAACAACCAAGAGTCGATAAGTGCAACAAAAAGTATATACAAAATAACTACACTTTTGCACTTATCACTTGCGGAACACATCAAGCCTTGGAAGTGCCAATGGGCCAAATGTTCAAGGATTCAAGAGACATTGACACCACATATCCATCCAAAATCTTAAGGCAATGGGGTGTGTGTCCCCTCTCTTATAACCCAAACATTTCCTCCATTCCTAGTCAATGTGAGACTTTAGAACTTTCACACTTGAAACCCAACAATTTTCCTCCAAATGGCAGTCACCCACATCACACGACTTGATCCACACTAGGATCCACTTTCAACCCACCAGCGAGCCAATCAGTCACTGATACCACTTGTTGAGTCATAATGAGGGAGAATCATTTACATTTGACCAAACACCCACCTAAAGATCAAAAACTCAACCAAACAAGTGAAAGAGACACCACATATTTACCCAAAGCCTTAAAGTGATAGGTGTATGGATCATATCACTTATAAAATGCTAAACTTTGACTTTTTCAAACAACGTGAGACTTAATTAAAACTCACTCTTATTTCTCAATACAACTCACACTTATTTCTCAATACAACTCGGGATTGTTTCTCAACAACATATCATATTGATTTTTCATTTAATTTAGATATGCATATATTGTGAGTGTAATCATCATCTTAAGATTATAGGTTTTGCGACATGATAACAACGATTTATTTGCATTTTTAATAGGACAAGTTAGAATTTAATACTAAATAATACATCATTTATGATAAATTATTACCTTGAAAAATTTTGAGCTCTATAATAGGTGTAATATATAATAAATATTCTCTTTTTTTTCTCGTGTAATTTCACTTATGATTATTAGTTACCTGTAATTTGACGTGTCTCTTTTTTAAATTCTTACTGATATGCATGCATTGCCATTCTAGGCAATTTTTATTCTTTTTTAAATTACTAGTCAAATAAGTCTACCATTCAATTATCCATTTGTCAAACAAGTCTTTTTTTTATCCTATTTATTTCATTCTTTATTTTATTGTTCATTACAAGCCTACAAATGAAAAATAATGATATGGTACAATCTTAAGGGATGAATGAGCTTTATTTTTAAATTATCATTACATAAGTGTGGGGTGATAAAGTTGTGAATTTACTCTAAATATGTGGAAATTATATAGTGTGGAAAATTTGGATAGCAAAAGATACAAAGAAAATAAAATAATAAATAAAAATATAGTAGAAGGAAATGTGTGAAAATAGAGGAATGATAATTGTTAAATATGTCTTCAAAACGAAATGTCTCTAACACTTTATTTATAATTTATTTCCATTACTATTTTATCTTATTTAATTATATAGCATAGTTCGATGGTTCAATTCAGAATGACATTATTCAATTTAATCAGAGAAATTGTTAATTTTAATTTAAATATGGTTTGTTAGAATCTATAACGGTAGTTGCATGTTTCAAATGATTATGTGTTCTTTATAAGGGTTAAGAAAGAATCACAATCATGCAATGGTTGTTCAATTTAAATCTATATAAGGCTAATTATATGAGTTGAATGATTAGGTTTACACTCGATCATTAATAGAATCAACAATTAACTATTTTTTGGAACTTCTGATAAATCCCACGATGATCTCCGCAATAAAATAATCAATTGTCCTAATTCAATTATTTTCTTTTTTCAATCAATATTTTTTTATAATTCCTAATTTATTTATGTCATGGTTCTTGTTTCTAACTATTGATATTAAAAGGTCCTTGAGAAATAAATTCTTTAACAATCTTATTACTACATTACAATTAAATTTTACAATTATTTTGATCGCCTACAATACCGACTATAAACTTTGGAGAGTAACTATATTCTTTTATATCTTGTTATTATCGAAATCAAAATAACATGTCATCATTGTTCTCTAAAAGTTTTACAAAATAATGAATATTTTTAGAAAGGTCACATCAAGCTCCTACCATAACAATAACATCAACAAAGATCAATCACAATAATGGATAAAGATATAAAAGATTATAACAATGAATATCACATCCCATACATGCATTATTTACACATGTACAAATTCATCTAAAAATCAGTTACAATCTTGATGCATTTGACTTTGAACCATCGAAAACCTTTTTTTATAGAACGTTTGAATTTACCTTCAGCTGCATAAAACTTGTAATTAGCCACTCTTCTCTTTCTTTTTCTCTCTGGATCATTCCACCATGATGGGCTCTTTGTCTTTGCCACGGGATGTTCTCGCGACATCTTGTTGATATAATTAGAGTATAAAGATGGAGAGTTAACGTTCCTCTCAACCCACAAATTATTGTTATTCATGCTTTTCGCATTAACATCATGTGGGTTGTTACCGGTTGATCGAGCCAACCGGTATTGGAACCTCTCCATCCCTCAACCCTGTATAATTATTGTTATGACAATATCTATTTTTCTTGATCAATTGTTTCTCTTTCCCTCTCTTTCCTTTTATCTCTATAAGAGAGAGAAAGAAAGAGAGTTTACAATTCAATGGTTTAAAATGTTAAACATCTTTTTATGTAATTTTTTCTTCGTCATGTTGTTTTTTTATTTTGTTTTCAACATATTTTAGCTGTAATATGCGTCAGCAATAATAATTAGCTCCCTATCTAAACTATCATGCGACTAAATATAGCATGTATGATATAATTCCACTTATTTTTATATTTTTGAAGAAAGATTAACATCTTTTGAGATATTTTTCAATGCTAATTATGACTATGAAGGTACATAATTTTAACGTAATCTTTTTCGTTACAAATAGATTTAAAAATTTTAAATTATTATTTATGTTAATAACATTTTTTAAAATGAAAAAAATATTATATATTACATAAGGTTGGGTAAAACATCCAACAAAATACATATTATGCGATTTCGAATATTACAAGATGTGTCAAACTCAAACCACCTATAAAAACATAAAATAAGAGAGCTAGCAAAGGAAACAACAATAAATTAAACAACTGAAAAGAAGGAAAAGAAAACCTAGACAACAAAATGCTCCACCCCTAAAAGATATATACCTCAAGAAGAAGAAAATACCAACTCCAACCTTTAAAATAAATTATAGACTCTCAAATCATTATCATTTAAGATAGAAGATATCGTTCTAAAATCATTTGGAGAAAGAAAACGAGTTCACCATTGATTTACTAAGATATAATTTTTAAGGCAAAAAAAATCTTTTTTTTCTTCCACTTCTTTCACGTTTGTGGATGAACTAGAGAAGATAATATTGCTACGAGCACTTCAAATGATTCACATTGAAGAAGGAGGGAGGGGGAGGCGTTAAATTATGTATCTTATAACTTTTGTTTTTATGAACAACAACTTCTCAATCTGATCAAGTTCAGATTCTTAGCAAGAGTATGCAGTTGCACTCTGTTTTGTGATTTAGAAAATAAACTATCATGACATTTATTTGAGGCTATAAATCTGTCCAGCCTAGCCTTAATATAGCGTAATTCATCCTGTACAAATGTTGAGATTATATTATGTAAGATAGAAAGATAACCCCTAATGCACCCGTTTGGAGGGAAAATGGTTGCGACTGTTTTTGTCAGGTCGTTACTACTTAGGGCAAGCAGTTAGGTAGTTAGGGAAGGTTAGTTGCATTAGGGTAGTTGGTTAAATCAGGTCAGTTGTTAGTTAGAGTTAGGGGCGGGTTTGGTTATAATATTGGGGCAGATCAGTTAAGAGGTTGACTGCAAATATGAACAGAGGTTAAGAGGTTTGTTATATTAAAACAAGTTATTTCTGTTAGTGATGTTAACTATAGGGAAATTTTAGTTCTACTAAAATTTTAAACTGAAGTAGAGATTAAACCAGAGTTAGTTGGTTAGAAATAGTTCTACTAAAGAGGGGTTAAAGGGGTTTGAATATTAAGGTAGGGGTTGTTAGAATGCGGATTCACGGGATCTTTTAAGTTCCTTGAATTCAATCTTGTGTAACTCACGTTTTTCCAAAAATTCAAGTAAAGAAGAAGTTAATTCAGAATGAGTAAGGTCAGAAAATACCTCTTTGGAGAATACCTCTTCTATATCTGATTATGATTCTGCTTTATCTTTTGGAGGGATCCTTTCAATAGACGTTCTAACTTGATCCATCTGCGCCATGTTAGCACGTTCTTCTTCACATTCGTCTTTTGAAGAGTCACACTCATCCCAGGTTGTCATCAGCCATTTCTTCTTGCTTTTGAAAGCTTTCTTCTTGGACCTATCTTTCTGAAGTTCAAGACAATCATTCTTGTAGTGTCCTGGATCATTGCACTCATCACAAGTGACTTCTTTTCCACTAGACTTCCTTTGACCAGAAGTAGACTTGAAGCGACCACCACTTCTTCTAGTACTTCTAAAACGGTTTCCTTGATTCCTCTTCTGGAGACGGTTAACTCTTCTGGACAGCAGAGAGAACTCATCTTCATCTTCATCAAAATCATCTTCTGAGTCCTCAATCTCTTCAGCTTGGAGAGCTTTGAACTTTTCAGATCTTCTGACAAACTTGAGCACAATAGATTTTCCTCTCTTCTGAGGTTCATCTTGATCTACCTCAATCTCATGAATTCTCAGAGAACTCGCCAGTTCTTCTAGATAAGTGTTATTCATATCCTTTGAAAGCTTGAGTGCAGTTACCATAGGCCTCCATTTGAATGATAAGCTTCTTATAATCTTCTTCAAATGATCTGATGTAGAATAACCTTTGTTTAGAACTCTCAGTCCTGCAATTAAGGTTTGAAACCTTGAGAACATCGTCTCAACTGTTTCATCATCTTCCATCTTGAAGGCTTCATACTTCTGAATCAAGGCCAGAGTCTTGGATTCCTTGACTTGATCATTACCTTAGTGAGTCATTCTGAGAGAGTCAAATATAGACTTAGCTGAGTCCGTATTTGTGATCTTCTCATACTCAGTATAAGAAATAACATTCAATAAGATGGTTCTTTCTTTATAATGATTCTTATAATCCTTCTTTTATTGATCAGTCATAGCTTTCCTTTCAAGCTGTTTTCCATTTATATCTGTAAGATGTTTCTAGCCATCTGCTACCATATCCCAAAGATCAACATCATGACTTAGAAATAAAATTTCTAGTATATCTTTCTAGTACTCAAATTTAACCATAAAAAATGGGAGGTTTAGCATTGTAGTTATCTTTATCAAAAACTGGAGTTGGTGGTAGTGGAATAGGATCAACCATAGTGTTTCTAAAAATTTGTCTTGATCTTTATCTGACACGGTTAAGTGTTTTTTATAGAAGAAATTAATACCTGAACCAGAGCTCCAATGCTAATTTAAGGTGCGAGAAACACAAGAAATAGGGGTTTGAATTGGGTTGCACCAAATATAATCTTTTCACAACTCAAAACACAAAGATAACAAGTGAATAAAAATAGATGAACACAATTACTTTTATCCTGGTTCACTGTTAACTAAGTTACTCTAGTCCACCCTGCAAGGTGATTTTCCTTATAAACAATGACTTAATCCACTATAATCAACCAAATTTCAAACAACCACAATAATTCTGATCAACCCAATCGGCACCCCCAATAAGTTCGTTGATCCTTATGCAAACCTACTATGACTGCAACCAAAGTCTTCTTGAGAATCCAGACTACACAGAGTCTCTTAGGAACCTATCAACTATAGTTGATTACAAATATGTGTATACAAAGATGCTTCTACACAAGCAAATTACACAATGTTTAAGTACAGCAACACAAAAGTGTCGATAGTAAGATACAAACAAAAGCTCCTTGCTTATTTACAAAACTATACAAAGAATTTACTATACAGAGTTTATGCAACGGTTTGGTGTAGTTTTGTAGAACTAATTCATTGATTTCAAATTCCTCAAAGTACTTATTTTATAGCTGAAAGAAGAGATCCATTGGAAGGTAGAATAGGAAACACACATACAACTGTTTTGACAACGGTCATGGTGAGACTAGTAGACAATAGTGAAAAAAGGTATGTCCTTGCGCCACTCTAGAGAGTGGAGGTCACATTGTACTTTTTTACTTGTATACTCACTATCACACGCAATCTCTTAGTTTTGATCTTCGTCTTCTATATCTTCAGAGACTTCTGATATGTTTGTTGATGAAGCATGTTGTAGAAGGATCAGAATTTTGTATCTTCATAATCTAAGTCTTTAGAACCTTTCAGGGCTTGTTTAGAGAACCCTTGCCTTCATAGTCTTCAGCACTTGGTCTTCAGAAGAATGTCTTCAGATCTTCATTACTCGTTCGATAGAACCTTCCAGGGCTTTTTCAGAGAACCCTTGCCTTTATAGTCTTCAACACTTGGTTTTCAGAAGAATGTCTTCAGATCTTCAGAACTCTTTCAATAGAACCTTATCTTCTGCATCTTCAGAACTTGGAACAACAGAAGTAAAACTTTAGAAGGCCTTCAAAGCTTCCTTACATAAGTCATGATAAGAAGCTCTTTTACTAGAATCTTGACTTAACTTATAACGCACCAAAGGTATTCTTCCAGAGTGTTAAGTTCATAACCTGATGACGTCACACGCCTTTTTACCAGAGTCAGAACCTATTTAACAAAAGCTACACACTAGACAAAAACCATTAGAATATACTATTGTTTTCTAAGATAACATGTAAATTTATCATTAAAACATAAGGCCATATGTAGAATCAACCTTATTCTTACATAATTCTATATATTTTGTTATGTGGGGTGCCTACATTTTGGGTTGGTACTGTTTTTATTGGCAACTTGTTGTTTTTGTGTGTTTTGGTTAGGTTTGAGTGGTTGGTTGGTTACTTATTAGTTAAGTGGTTATTTGTGTGTACTGAAATTTTCGAATTGGTTTGTGATTTCAGAGACTGAACAACGGGTTGCTTTGGCGATTTCGAGGGGAGTAATTGACTTCAAGAGGGAGCCTTGGCCTCAGATTTCTGACAGTTCCAAAAGCCGCGTGCGTCAGATGTTGGAACCTGACAAGGTTTGGCTTTCATTCATACGACTCATTGCTTTATTTTATTTCCAGCTGGTTCTTTCTTTATAAGTTACACTGTCGTTGCAACATAAACAAAAGGAGATATACTAGTGTTTCTCTTAAAAAATATTTCGTTCATTTGATAATATAATTTTTTTCATACTTCTCATGTACACTCCACAGTTTCCTCCATAAATGTTAATCATAACATTTTTTCAATTTCCTATTTTCATAGGATGGTAGCACCAGTTTTGAGGAGTTTGTGGCCATGATGAAGACGAGAACTGATTGGAGAAAAGCATCCAGGAATTATTCTAGGGAGAGATTCAAGAGCTTGAGCATAAAATTGATGAAGGAAGGCTCACTTCAGCTTAGGTTTTTTTGGTTTGGTGTTGGATGGTTAACGC